ACTTTCCCAATGCAATTCGTCTCCTGATTTCCTGGCTGCTGTTACCAGGCGCGTTGACTGTGGAGCCAAGTAAATTAAAACTGTTAACTATCTCAGTCTCCTCACCATCCATGCTGATGCTGCCAATTGGCCCAGTGGTTAGAATCTTTGTTTTCTTGACATTTAGCTTCAGTCCATATAGGACCTGTAGTCCTTGATCTTCTGCAGCAAGTTCTTCAGGTTCTCCTCAGTTTTAGCAAGCAGGGTTGTGTACGCAGGTTGAACGCAGGTTGTTGATGATTCTTCCACCAATCCTGATGCCACATTCCTCTTCGTATAGCCCAGCGTCTCGGTTGAGCAACATAGAAAAGGTAATTTTCAGCTGTACATTGGAAAGAAGGAAATCTCAAATAAGTAAAAAACATTTTTGAGGATTAATACCAAAACAGAAGGCCGCTTGCTTCCTAATCTCATATCCTACTTTACAGCTAGTAGTCAGAACAGCCAGAAGGACACATGTAGTACATACAGTGTTAGACACATAGGCCAGGGAAATGTAAATGAGAAGTCAGAACTAAGTCCACTTGTCTATGGACAACTGCTCTTCACCAAAGGGTTGAAATACATTAAATGGTTAAGAGAGAGTCTTTCTTAAAAATGGTGCTGACAAAACTGGATCTTCATTTGTAGAAAAAAATGAAACAGGATCCCTACCTCACCCCATGCACGAAAACTAACTAAAAATGAGAGAAACATGTAAATGTGAAAGTTATAATGATAAAATACTTAGACAAAAACATAGCGACATAGCCAGGAACCCTAACTTAAAGCGTAAGTAAGATTATTAAACATAACAGAAACATGTTCAAACAGCAGAAGATACTCTAGATGACCGGAGAATCCTAAAAACGAAACACTCATGCATGTCAGAAGGCTTTTCTAAACAGCTGGAAGAGAATCTACAGACTGACAAGTTGTTTTCACAAAAACATGCGGCAAGGGTCTAACCTCTAAAATTAATAGAACACTCTAACTACAAAAGCACAAACAACTTATTTCAAAATAAGCAAATGACATGAGGAAATATCTCTCCAGAGAAAACATACAGGTGGCTAATAGGCAATGAAGAGATGCTTGAGCTCATTTACCATTAGTGAGCCCCTCAAACTGCAATGAAATACTATCCCAAACTGACAGGAACAGCACTGATCAGAATCAAACTATACAT